TTGCCTGGCAAGCCTCTGCTCACAGGCTCTGTTAGAGTCAGGGCATCAACTCTGCCTGTAGGTCTCAGTCCTCACCCAGTAAGCCTCTGCTCACCACCCCTGCTGGAGACAGGGGACTACACCCTACCCCTCAGGTCTTGGTTCACACCCAGCAAGCCACTGCTCGAGGTTTCTGTTGGAATCAGGGGACCACCCCCTTGGTCTCAGGTCTCAGTCCACACTTAGCAAGCCTCTGTTCACAGGCCCAGCAGGGGCTGGGGACCAGCCTTGTCTGCCTAACTCAGTCTACACAGGGCAACCACTCTCCTGCCAGAGCCAGGGGTTTTGCACCTCATCCCACCACACACAGCCCGAACTGAGGATCAACACCACCACTGGTCAGGCATAGTCATAACCAGGGGACTGCTCCTCCTCTTGCTGAGTGTCCCTTTCTTCCCACACCCTCTTTCTTCCCCGTTAGTCACAGATTCCGTCCTGATGGTTGGCAGTTCACACTATGCCCAGTTCTCTCAGGACAAGACCAAACACTCTGTGCTCTGCAGGGGGCAGAACTTCAGACCACCATGCAAGAGAGAAAGAATGGACTGGGAGTTTGGATTTGAGGGGGAAAATATCTGTTCAATTTTATGCCTGGTGGGGTGGTATCTAGGTTCATAAGTGGGACCTCCCTGGAGAAAGAGACCTGGAGTTTAGCAGCTCTCTTCAGCTAGGTAAAATGAGAGGTCTTTTGTTCTCTGTTTGTTCGCAGATAGCCTGAGGCAGGCCTCCTGCTTGGAGAAGGGGTGTCCCCGTCCTCTAGTCCGATAGGCTTTGTACCTGTAATTTGTTTTCTTGAATGCTCTACCTTGGAGTTCACAGCTTGCTGAACTTCTTTCTTGGCTCAGCTCCCCACCTTTGGCTTCACAGAGTCCAATTCCATCCAGTTTTTCTTCCTCTGCTCAGGAGCCTCTGCTTAGGGTTGCTACCAGTGGGCCATCTTCCCAGAATAAAAACATGCTTCAATAAAGCTGGAAAAATGGCGGGGGGGCACCACTTTGGCTAGGATGAGGTGGCAAGAAGAGGTGCTTCTAACTGCCAGAGTCTTAGGTAACTTCAGAAAGTCCTCTGTGTGCCCATGGAAGTTTTGGGATGCCCCATCTAGAGAAGAAGGACGTGGGGACAGTCCCTCCCAATCCTGATGCTCACCCTTTTGCAATGTGACTCCACACTTCTTTCCATCCAGAGGTGCAGTCTGTTTCTTCATCCCCTTGAATCTGGGCTGGCCTTGTGGCTTGCTCTGGTCAATGGCACGTGGCAGAAGTGATGTGGCTCCAGTGCCAAGCCTGGGCCTTGCAGCTTTTCCTTTGCCCTCTTGGAACCCTTCCCTGAGAATGAATGCCATCTGAAGAGGCCAGTCTAGGCTACTGGAAGATGTGGCACCATCTAAGGAAGTTAGTCACCACTGGGATTAGGGTGCCCTTGGAGGAGAACTGAGGGGCCCAGCTGAGAGCCAGCACCAACAGACAGATATGGGACTGGGACCTGCCAGCCATGTTGACTCTCCCCCTGAGCACAGCCTCGTGAGAGAGCCAGGGGAGACCAGTGGAGATCCTCAAAGCTGTTTCCTAGTGTTTGAGAAATAACAAGGAGGTATTGTTTTAGGCTGCTGAGTTTGAGGATGGTTTCTTATGCAGGAATAGACAGCTGAAACAGAAGCCCCCTTTTCTTTGCTTCTGATTTTGGCAGCCTTGAGGCTATCTCTGCTGAAGGGGGATTGTGGATCCCTAGTCACTTACATCTGAGTAGCAGGTGGCACACCTTTGCCCTCACTCCCTCCCACTATGCCTCAGGTCTTGACCCATCTCTCTTAGGGCAGTGGTTCCATATTTTGGTTGTGCAAAGGAATATTGTAGTAATTAAAAAATTACCTGTTATTTGTTGTCATGTGACAAATCACCCCCAAACTTAGTGGCTTAAGAGAACAATAATTTACTTTGCTCGTAAATCTGCAGCTTGGGGAGACAGCTTATTTCTGTCCCGCACAGTGTCGGCCAGGATGGTTCACAGGCAAGGGGCTGAGATCGTCTGAAGTCTTATTCTTACATGCCTGGGAGTTGAGGCTGACAATCACTTGGGAATTCTTGGTCAGAACAGCTCCCAGTGACCTTTTCACTTAGCTGCTTGGGCTTCCTCACAACTTGGCAGCTGGAGTCCTAGCGTGAGTGCTCCAAAAGAACGTGGCAGAAGCACGTGGGATTTGTGTGTGGACTTGGCCTCAGAAATCACATAATGTTGCTTCTTCTGTACTCTGTTGGCTGATGGAGTCTTAAAGATCCATATGGGTTCCAGGGGAGGGGACTAGAACCACCACTGGTGGGACGAGTGTCAGAATTACACTCTAAGAAGAGCATGGGATCTATTGAGGTGGCTGTCTTTGAGAAATACAATCTGTCACAGGTTCCTATGCCCTACCCCTGGAGAATCATTTCCACAGTCTGGGTTGAAGCCCCAGAATCTTATTTTTCATGTGTTTCTAGGCAATTCTGATACACATTGAGGACAAGGTATTGGCCCTTGCTCTAAGACCTGTGGCCTCTCACCCCTGAACTTGGGGAGAGAGTGGTTTCTGTCCTGAGTAACAATGCCATCAAGGGCCATCTGGAGGGAAACTAGCCTCCAGCCAGCAGGTGGGACCTGAGGATCAGGAGGTCTGGTATCTGTCCAAGAGGGTGGTGTTGCTGAGCTGCCCTTGTTACAGAGGACTCTGGGGAGCTGCTATACCCTAGTAGCCTTTTTTCTTCCAGCCCTGTGTGCACCTCTCTTTAGCACTTCCTCGTTTATAGACAGTAGCCTCCAGGCTTCTGCTGGTGGAGTGTGGGCAAAGTGGTCACGCCTCTCCATGGTGAGAGTTTGAGCACTCCTCCTCCAGCGGCTCACTGCCAGTTGGTGTCTTCCTCCCTCCTTCAGCTGTTTTTGAAGATGTTTTCTTAGGTTAATTTAACCTGAGGAGTATTAGAGGGCTCTGGTCAGTGTGCAGTATTCCTGAAGAGGCTTCCCCCATGCCCTAGGAGTGGTCTAGGGAGGGAAGCACAGGGAGGCTTGGGACCTGGGTTTCAGCTTCAGCTTGGCCACAGTTTTGGTCTTTTGGGTCAAAGTAAGTCACATCTCAACTTAGAGCTAACGTTTTCTCAACAAATGTGTTTCTATTCTCTTCAACAAACTGCTGAATGGGGCTGATCTCCCTGAACAGGAAGCCTACCCTGGCTCCCTCCTGGCCTTTGGAGCTACATACCCTGGCCTGGCCCATTGCTCCAGCCCCACCACCCTTCTCTGGACTTGCCATGCTCTGGCACCTCTCTGAGCCTTTGTGTATGCTGCTCCCTCTGCATGGAACGCCTTGTCTTGCTTTCACTGCCTGGCAACTCCCCACTTTTGGCTTTTGTCACTTTCTCCATGAAGCCTACCCCCACCCTACCCTCCAGCCTCCATGGTGTGCGGTGGTCTTGGTGGCCTCCATGGTGTGCATTGGTCTTCTTCATCAGGAACAGCAGCCAGGGCTCCTGGCTCGGGTGGGTTTTGCACACGAGCCCAAGCTTCGGAGTCAGGCTGTCTGGATGTCAATCCAGTGCTGCTCCGTACTTGCTATGTGGCCTCATGCTGATGGCTTCACCTCTCTAACGCTGTTTTCTCATCTCTGAGATGGGGCGCATGATCGCTAAACAGGACTGTCACGCTATTTTAAGGATATCAGCGGAGGAAGCAGTAAGTCTCAGAGAGAGGTTAAGAGAAGGCCTGAGTAGCAGAGCTCTGCTTCCTTTGCCTTTGACGCATGAGGAGCCAGTAATCCTTGTCCACTTCATTACAGGTGAGGGCTGGGCACATAGCAGGTGCTGATGTTAGGAGACGCTCCTTAAAGACTCCATGAATGAAGGCAGCCGTTTTCGGAATTTTGTGTGCTCTGTGTTTATTTTACACACGGTATCTGCGCGCCTTGGCTTAGGAGGGAAGCTGAGCCCGCGAGGAGCCCTGTCGCCGGAAGCGCCCCCGGGAAGCCCCGCCCCCGAGGAGCCCCGCCCCGGAAGCGCCCCGGGAAGCCCCGCCCCCGAGGAGCCCCGCCCCCGGTCGCAGTTTTCCTCCTCTACCCCGTCTCCTAGCAACTGTCAAACCCAGAGACGCTGTGGGTTCTGCCCGGCTCTCGGCACTTGCGGACCTACCTGCTCCCGCAGCCTCCTCGCTGACGCGTTTGTGGATCGGCTGCGGGAGCCCACGCCGCGGCCTGAGTGCCTGCTGCGTCCAGCGCATCCGCTCTCAGGTCGCCTTGAGGGGCGCGCCGCCCCCTGCGCCCCACCTCCACGGTCCCTTTTTGCCTTCCTCCAGCGTGGTCTCCCTCCTCAGCGTTAACCCAGGGTTCCTCCTCCGTGGACCTCGAGTCCAGCACCTGTGCCCACTGGGGGAGCGGGGACCTCGCCAGGCTCTTGCACGTGCTGTCGGTGGCCTGGTTGGCCTTTCCCCAGACAGTGAACGCACACTGGGCTTTGGCGCCGCTCGCCCAGCTCTTAGGCACAGGGGATTCTCGGCCTACCCCCTCTCACTGCCCTTTCAGCGTCCTGGGAATTCTGCTCACCTGGAGCAGGCATTCCAGACACGCCAATGAGTCGGCCGGAGAAGTGGGGTCGCTCCTTTTCATGCTGCTCGCCGTCCTTTTCTACGGTTCCTCCATTGTTCTTTTTTTTTTTTTTTTTTAAGTTTTTGGCCAGGGCCGGGTTTGGACCCGCCACCTCTGGTATATAGGGCCGGCGCCCTACTCCTTTGAGCCAAAGGCGCCGCTCATTGTTGATTCTTTAAATTGGCTTTGTACCTACTGTGTGCCAGGCAGTGATGGAGGCCTTGGCCATTCAAGCAGGAACAGGAGAGAAGGGAGGCAAGAGAAGGTGGGGCTTCCTGAAGGAGGCAGGTCTTACCTGCTGGGCGCAGAGGTGATGAACAGCCTTTTTTCTCTCCAGCCAGGAGCGCCCGCAGGTGGTTTGCTCGGCAGCATGTCGTTGCACGCCTGGCAGTGGGAGGATGAGGAGCACTCGAGCACAGGAGTCATCTCCTCCGTCAACAGCTTCTACCAGTCCCTGAGTGGGTGTGATGTGGAGGAGTACCTGAAGGCCACGGCCATGGCCAGCGCCCAGGAGTCCGCCTCTGAAGGTCAGGGCAGCAGCGACTTTTCAGAAGACCCTTCCAGCACCTTCAATTCCGACGAGCCCCATGTCGTTCCCTGCAAATTCATCATCTCACTGGCCTTTCCTGTGAACCTGGGTAAGTGCCAGAACAGAGTTCTGACCTCCTTTGCAAAAAGGAGGTGCGCTGATGGCTTTCTCCCAGGAGTTTAGGGCATGTCTACCCCACATCCTCCTTCCACCAGCCTCCATCTCCCGGAGGCTGACTGACGCAGTCAGGAGCAGGCTGTTTTAGGGGCCTAACTGTGGTTGCATGGGCTTCACATACTTAATTCTCTCAACAACCCTAAGAAGCAGGTGATGTCCTGTCTGCTTTTTACAGATGAAGAAACCATAGAGAGATTAAGTAAGGCATTGGATCTCACGAGCCTGTTGTGCATCATCTAATACCTTGTTTCCAACACACTTTCTCAGATCTATTGAATCAAAATATGAATGTAAAAGTGTATCATTTAGCTATTGACACAAAGATGCTGTGCAACAAGGCCCCAAGCTCAGTGCCCGCAAACAGGAGCCCCACGCTCCCGGGTGTGCAGCTTGATGGTTTAGGCCGGCTCTGCTTCCTGCTGTGCGTCCCCCACCCCACCCCAGACAAGGGGACTACCCTGCAGACCCTCTCACACAGACAGGCAGACACGCAGAAGAGGGCAAGCCCACACCCTCCACACTCTTTAAATCTTCAAGTGCCTCCCCCTCTGTTAGTTTGTTGTTGTTGTTGTTGTTTGTTTTGCAGTTTTTGGCCGGGGCCAGGTTTGAACCCACCGCCTCTGGTACATGGGGCCGGCGCCTTACTCCTTTGAGCCACAGGTGCTGCCCACTCTGTTAGTGTTTTATTAGCCAAAGCAAGTCTAAAATATAAAATAAAATTCTAGTTTCATTGAGTTTTTTTTCCCTTCAATACATGAGTACTTATGGTTGACTATGTAAAGGTTTATATAAATTACATGTTTAAGTGAGGTGAGACCTTACACTTCTATAATATAACTGGCTTTTTTTGGTTTTTTGTTTTTTTTTTTTTTTTTGAGACAGAGCCTCAAGCTGTCCCCCTGGGCAGAGTGCCGTGGCATTACAGCTCACAGCAACCTCCAACTCCTGGGCTCAAGCGAGTCTCTTGCCTCTCCCAAGTAGCTGGGACCACAGGCGCCCGCCACAACGCCTGGCTATTTTTTGGTTGCAGCCGTCATTGTTGTTTGGCGGGTCCGGGCTGGGGATTCGAACCTGCCACCTTAGGTGTACGTGGCTGGCGCCTTAGCCGGTTGAGCTATAGGCGCCAAGCCAATATAACTGGCTTTTTACAAAGTTGACGGGGTTTTAGATCTCTTAGAGGATGTAAGCCCACACTTGTTTCTATGTTGTTGTTGTTTTGCTTTAAATACCTCTACAATATCCCACTGTATGTCTCTAATTTATTCTACCCCTTGTCAGTGGATATTTGAGTTGTTTCTAGTTTTTGTTTTCTGTTAGAATTCTGCAGTAGAGGTTGGGCATGGGGGCTCACACCTGTAATCCTAGCACTCTGGGAGGCTGAGGTCGGTTGATTGCCTGTACTCAGGAGATTGAGAGCAGCCTGAGCAGGACCCAGTCTCTTCTAAATACAGAAAAACTAGCTGGGCGTTGTGGTCAGCACCTGTAGTCCCAGCTGAGGCATGAGGATGGTTTGAGCCCAAGAGTTTGAGGTTGCTGTGAGATATGATACCATAGCACTCTACCCAGGGTGACAGAGTGAGACTCTGTCTCAAAAACAAAAACAAAAACAGTTCTGCAGTAGACATCCTTGTGCATACGTTTTTGGGGCATATATGTGGGGCTTCTATAGCCAAAATCCCAAGAAGTAGATTGTCTGGGCTGAAGGTATGCATTTATAGTTTTTTGGTAGATGTTGTCAAATTGCTCTTTACATGGGTTAAACAGCTCGCCATTCTATCAGCAGAAATGAGAGTCTCTGTCTACTTGCTGGCCTACCTTGGATGGAATCAGAACACAGTGAAGGTCTGTGAGCCTCCTGGGAGGTTAAAAGCTTCGCTGAAAGTTCTAATGCTACCAAGGACTGGCGGAGAAGCTTTATTCCAAACTCTGCACAATTGTTAACTATGAGGGTAGCACAAGATTAATGCAGCAGCAGAAGCCTCCTGAGAATTAAAAACTTGAACTTTAAATACTACAGATTTAAAGATACTCATATTTTTATAGAATGAAATTTGGATTACATACTTATGGACGCTCAAGCTTCTTATTATGGTGTAAAAAGCCCCAACCTCGAGGGTTCAGTTTAAGTTCCAGGGCAGGCTGTGGAGGATCTGTGGGCTCCGGCCGCTGGCTGAAGCCTCGCCTTACCTGCTGTGTCCTATCACCCGTTCACCTTACACTGGGGGGCTTCACAGGGGAGGGTTTTGTGAGGGTGGTCCTTCTGCCTGGAATGTTTGCCAGCTTTGCTCCTTACAAGATTGCTAAGGTCCCCCTGGAAAGCTGTGCCACACCATCCCTGCACAGAGTTTGTGCCATTTCTTTTTTTTTTTTTTTGAGACAGAGCCTCAAGCTGTCCCCCTGGGTAGAGTGCTGTGTCATCTCAGCTCACTGCAACCTCCAACTCCTGGGCTCAAGCGAGTCTCCTGCCTCAGCCTCCCAAGTAGCTGGGACCACAGGCGCCCACCACAACGCCTGGCTATTTTGTGGTTGCCGCCATCATTGTTTGGCGGGCCCGGGCTGGATTCAAACCTACCACCTTAGGTGTATGTGGCTGGCACCTTAGCCACTTAAGCCACAGACGCCGAGCTGTTCCTGTCATTTCTGTGGTACTTCAGGACCCGGTTATTATGTAGATATATTATTTGTGATTTATTTTAACCTGCTCCATAGGGCTGAGAGACAAGCAGTGTGGTTAGGGTGAAACGTTTAAGGCAACACTCAACTGTCAGAGGCATTCACTTGAGTTTTGCTTCCTGGGGCCCGTCTGGGTCCTGCCACTCTGTGGAGAAGCAGCACTGGTCCTGTGTTTTCTCCGCCAGGCCCGGAAAACAGCATGTGGTGCACAGATTCCCACAGCAACAGGCTCTTTCTTAGCTTCAGGGAACTTGGGGATGGGTCTGCTTTTCCATGTGAGGTTAAAACAAGACTCATTGAATCTCTGTCTTCTAGGTCTTAAAGCAAAGTATACAAATTACATTGAAAAATATAAGAAATACCCTAAATCAGACAACTCTATTGCCAAGCATCGTCAGTTCTACCACATTGAGTATTTCCTTCTGCCAGATGATGGGGAGCCCAAAGTTGTGGACATGGTGGTGTTTCCAACAGTGGCCAAAGTATTCCTGGACTCAGGAATCAAGGTGTGTGGGGCGTGTGAGTGTGTGTCCTGGCATGTGACCTTATACTGTGTGGGGCGTGTGTGTGCGTGTCCTGGCCTGTGACCTTATACTGTGTGGGGCGTGTAGAGAGTGTGTGTCCTGGCCTGTGACCTTATACTGTGTGGGGCATGTAGAGAGTGTGTGTCCTGGCCTGTGACCTTATACTGTGTGGAGCGTGTGAGTGCGTGTCCTGGCCTGTGACCTTATACTGTGTGGGGCGTGTGAGTGCGTGTCCTGGCCTGTGACCTTATACTGTGTGGGGCCTGTGTGTGCGTGTCCTGGCCTGTGACCTTATACTGTGTGGGGCGTGTGAGTGTGTGTCCTGGCCTGTGACCTTATACTGTGTGGGGCGTGTGAGTGTGTGTCCTGGC